AGTATTAAAATAAGATTTATTGAGTGTAAAAAGTGTAACCATTATTTATATTTAGGTAAAGGCATTTTCTGGGTCAATCCAGCGAAAAACCTTCATATCAATTTTTTACCCACATAAGTATATAAAATGATTTACAGAACAATCATATCCCATGCGCAAAAATATTATAGATTATTGATATTAATTTTTATTAGTATTAGTATTACAGAACATTTATTATTTTACTGAACAATTAAAAAAACATCTTTGAAAAAATAATTTTACTCACAATTTTGTTTACTTGTTTGTTTTGGATTGAGTAAAACCTTTAAATTAATTCTATTTTTCAAGTCGCTTTTTTATTTAAACCAAGTTCTGAATAGATCAGTAGTATGGATGCAGAAACGTCAAAAACAATTAATACACTTACTTAATGGAAACCTCAAATCCTAACCAACTCGATAAGATCTTATTAAATTCCATTGTAGTATTATCAGGTAAAGTTCTAATACCATAAGCTGCGTTGATTAACATGTCGCTCACAAAATTAAAATTACAAACATGACACAAAATAAATATTCATGTGATGAGATTTGCTTTCATTTGGAAACTCCCTTTGCGTGAACTAACTGATACCTTTAATTTTTTGAGTAGTTTAATTTAAAAAAAATGGCCATATCAATGATACATACAGGGACATTTTTTTATTAGTATACATAGCCCTATGTATACTTTAAAAAAAACCGGGTCAACTTCAATGTTACTATGGCAATTACGATTAGGGGTTAGTCTAGGCATAGGCAACCAATATTGCAAAGGCTTTAATATCGATAAATAAAAGACGAACTTGTAAAAACTACAAAGTAAATGTAATTAAATATTAATTAAAAAAAAATAGAACATGAAAAATATTTAATAATTAAAGTGTTCAAAATGCTTTCCTTGCAGTTCCAACCCAAGCGATTTTAGAAACCCCGCCACTGTATTCCTGATAAATTCAGGATCTATATTATTAAATTCTGTACGAATACGTTCTTTCAGCTCTTCTAAATTTTGCATTGGAACATTAGTATAAATTTTTATTTTTAAATACCCTCAAAGAAAGAAATCGTTAGGTGCCAAGTCTGGCGATCGTGGGGGCTATGCGATGGGACTATATCTCCCGATTCACTTCGGTGTAGATGGGTATCATAAATGGTATTAACTTTTTAAAGCTACGCTTTAAATTTCAATTCTGAAACTTGACAAACTTGACACAAAATTTTAGTTTTGAATATTTTAATATCTAGTACCCTCTAAAAGCTTGAAATTTTGGTCGCCTACCCTATGAAATTGACCCGGTTTTTTTAAAAGTATACATAGGGATATGTTTACTAATAAAAAAATGTCCCTGTATATTGGTCGTGCAATCGCCAGGGCAACCCTGTTGGCTGAGAGCTAAGGATTATTCAGGGATGTGTATGTTAACTCATCAACAATGCACTACTTATTTCGTGGTATTTTCAGGTAAGGAAGTAAATTGAAGTTGCTAAAAATAGAATCAATTTTTCTAGACGTCTGGGAAATTGTCGAGATTATTCAGATTAGAAATGATTGTTAGGAGAAAAACTGTTCTAAATCTAGAGATAAGTGTACTGGGGATGTGTATGTCTGTTTCAAGTCAGTCACGTAAGCACTGTCAGCTGATATCGTGTAATTAAACTAAAGATGCTACGATGTTGTTTAATGTAGTACAAAAAATATGCATTTGAATTTTGAATGGAATTTTAGAGGGAATATCTTGGTTATTAATAAATAAAACAAGGCCAAAAGTGAAACGACGTCTCCAGTTACAAAATAAATTTTACAGATAAAATGTTAACAATGCAGTGAATTGTGCAAATTAGGAGATTTTTTACACTGCAAAGCTTAAGGACTTTCTGCAAGTTTATACAGAAACCATTTTGTTTTCAAGTAATTCTATACATAGTTTATAGTTATTGCACAACATATGTCGTACCATGCGTTCAACTAAATTTCCGATCAAAAGATGACTGTGGAATTGAGTTGGCAACATTGAAAATTCTAGATATAAAATGTGTCATTTTTTATATCTTTTGTCTTTATTTTCCTCAGTATTAGTTGCAAACATCATCAGAAAATCATACATACGCATCAGAAATGTAATTTAACCATGATAGTTATTATAAGGTTTGTTCAGCGTTTCACAGTTATTTTTGTTTAACAATTCTTGTGGCTGTTTGAAATTTCTAAATAAATGTCATTTGAAGTAATTTGAACTAAAGTTAGTGTGTTCTGTATTGTGTTCATTTAATGTGGTTACAAATTTTGGAGTCAGGCGTAACAGAATAATACAGAAAAAAGCTAAATTGGTGGTAATTTTTCAAATTAAGGTACTCGTATTATACCTAAAGCATTTGGTTTTAGCAAGCTACCAAGTTACAATAGGATTAAATATTAATTTGAATGTCAAATCAAGAGGATTACATCAATATCAATTAGTAGATAAATGTCCCGACCAAAATTTAACTGTCTGTTTTTAAAAAGTAAAATAAAAATCCACAATATCGACAGAAACGTTTTTAGTACAGAAATTATTTATCGTTTCAACAAATTTTTGCAAATTTAGTTTTACATAAAAGTGAAGAAGTAGAAATGTTAAAGAATATACGTGCATTTCTATCTCAAAGTCTGGACTAGATTTTAATTTATTTAAATTTTGTAAGCTAATGTGAGGATTCTGAAACATCTATAAATAATCAGATTTGTTTTGAGAATAATGAATCATTACCATTACGTTAAAAATTACTTTTTATTAAAAAAGTAATAAGTCTTGGTTTGGGGGTAGGCTACTCGTAAGGTGTCTCCAAGATCATACAAAATAAAAAGTTGAGGCTGAGAAAAACATTTTGGTATAAGCACGTAATTTACATTACTGGTGATTGTCAAGATTTATTCACTGTTATTATTAATTTTCTAGTAGTAATACAGTATGTTTCATCTAAAATTTGCACCTTCTAAAATCTTCGATTTCGTCTAAGTTTGGAAAAAATGCTGAAATATGTGAATTTTAACTTAAAGGGACACCAAATTATTTTACTTTAGTTTCAAAGGTATTTATTTCTATATTCTTTTAGTGCTTTTTCAAAAAATGTAAATGCAAGAGGCGTTGAGTTTTCTTAAGGATGCACTAATGTTTTTACTTTTTAAAATAACAAGAAATTATGACTGAAATTTCTACTTGATTCCATAAACTATTGTCGTTTAATATCTAAGTTAAAAATAAAAACCAATAATTTTTAAATTGGTTCATAGTACAGAGTAATCGTCAGTACGTGACTAATTTAATTGCAAAATTTAAAGAAATTGAGAAGCTTTCGAAAATCGATTGTACCATTGTGTGGAAGTTGGGGGTGGACATTTTGTCTACATTCATTAAATTTAATTGTTTTTTCATAACTACTTTTGTTTCCTTTCACAGTAATCTAAAAAAAAAATCGTTCAAAATTGAAAAAAAAACACAGTGGCATAGACAATGAAACCAGATTCAAAATTATGTGTCACTCGACCCCTCTTACTATTTAAAGTTTTTGTAAAGGTGGCTCTAGGCGCTAAAAGGATGCAGAAATAACTTTGAAAGAAATAAGATAAAAAAAATTGATTAAGTTAAAATTGATCTATCGTTTCAGCATTTTTTCTAAACTTGGACGAAATCGGAGATTTTAGAGGGTGCAAATTATAGTTGGGATACTCTGTATAATGTTTAATAATAAATAATAATGGTTAAGTATTAAGTATAAAATCACTGATCGCGTTACAAAAATGAACCTAACATATTTTTCATGACGTAAGTCGGAAAGTTTTCAGGTATATTGTTGTTTATTTCGTTAATTATCCGATTGTTCATCAGTTAACACTTAATAACCAGACCAATTTATGAGAAACTACACATAATTGCATTTCTTGTATTTCAACAATCTCCTTAATAGGCAATAATTATTACGAATCGTATAGCCTTACTCGATCACTTTATCAACTTCATTAATCAGGTAGGTGGTCGATATTTATTGGTTTTCATTAGTCACCGTATATAAAGAAACTTAATTTTTTCCAAACTGTTGTACAAAATTTCGTATTCAAGGTAAACGTTAATTAATCCAACACAGTATCGCTTTATAAAAGGATAAAAAATTGTTTCATTTGGGTTATCAAAATAACCACAAATTTGCATTTCAATTGAGTTGTGACTGGTCAACATTAAAACGTATTCAGTTATTTTGCAAAATAAGTTAAGTGCGTTTACGCCTTGTTAACTAAACTGTCTCTTAACTTCCTAATGGAAAAAAAAAACTAACTATCTCCAAACAGGCACTTTTTTAAATCCCTTTTTAAAGATTCAGTTTCACAATGAGGCTGCGTAATTATTTTACACAAAAGTTTTTTTTTAATCGTTCGTAGGACGAGCATTGTACATATTAGAGGGTTTTTCCGTAATTAAATTTTGCTTAAGGCAATTGATGTCAGTTTCTAAACAAGGGCATTTGAGCGAATACCGATTTAATTAAACTCTTTTCCACTAATCATTCAGAGGTGGATTTTTAAGTGTCTTTGAATGGCACTCAATAAATTTCCTCTCTAGTTGATTCGTACAATCAAGCGAAATTGCAACAGAAATAATGAGTGAATGCTACTAGGAAAATATTATTTTATTTCGTTGCGAAAAAGTCGAAAGGTGAGAAGGTAAAAGCTTCTATCAGTTCGAGATTTATTTGTGTATCAAATTTTGAAAAGACAATCCATTAGAGAGTATCGATTCGCGCTTTCCAGCGAGACGCTAGACGCAAAATTGCGAATAAACACTCCGGAATTTCATCAATAAAATCGATAAATGGGTAGGTAGATTGATTAATTAGTTTTGTACAATTACTCACGTGATTGCGAAAAATTTTGTTGTTTACTTTCGTCATGGGTAAACATTTGTTTCTTTGTGGCTCTTTCTGAATTTTCTTGTTCTGTTTCAGATAGGACAGTCATTCACCGAAAGAGCTCTTTAGCGCTGACACCAGAGGACGAACCCTTAGATCTCAACGTAAGTCAAATTAATTTGAGTGATTCTCTCTCACGATAATTGTAACATTCGTCTCGTCGCCAATGCTGAAAACGGCTTCCAATTAGACGTGACCATATTTCGTATTTATATTATTATGTGGCTCAGCCTTGTCGTAATTGCTACGCAAATAAGATTAATCTCGTTAAAGAATTTTATGTGGACGGGGCAATTGTGGAATGCCACTACTGGTTTATTTTCAGGAAAATTGATGTTTCGCGATAAAGTCCCTACTTTATGTTGGGGCTTGGTATTTTGCAAATTTAATTAGCCAAATGAATTGTTTTAGATATTATAATTCATAAAACAACACAGTTCGGCCGTTTGTCAGAAAATCGGTGGGCAATTAGTTGTCGCCTTTGTTTAAATCTTTAGAGTTTTTAATCAAGAATTTAATCCGAAGTAATATGCAAAAAATTACCAAAATAAAAGGCATACAACAAGAAGTACATACGTTAATTTTAATTATCAATTCAACTTACGCTGATCAACAACGTTTTTTAATGCATACTTATATTAAACTCAATTATAATATTTTTATTAATAATTTCGTTAAAAAATACTTTTTGGTAACTAATTCTATCTACCGGACACGTTTATAACTATGTAAACGCTAGTTAAATTTTTGTTTTCATGAATTTTTGTTTAACTTGAAAGTGATCGTTGCAGTATCTTAAAAAACTTTATACAATATACTACTGGTAGCATTTATATAGCCTTGCCAAACATACAGGTCGAGTCGTATGACGAGACCTTTATGTTTGGCAAGGCTGCTTAGTAAAGATTGGCACGGCCTTAAAAATGTTGCTACCGGTGTAACACCGTAAATAGCTATTACTATGGTCGTTTGGAAAAAACGTTTGAAAAAAATTATTTTTCTTTTGGATAGTTTTTTCCAACCTAAACATTTTCGCTTTTCTGTTTCCTCTGGATGAATCAAACGAAAAATTAATACTAACAATTAATTTTGTATCTTATTTATTTTGAACATAAAAACCGGTAAAGTCTGAGTAAGTAAAAGTAAAAATAATAATTCGATTAAAAGTATATTAAACATGTTATTATTATTTGTGTGTTATTGCAAGTTCAAAATCAAGAGAAAAATTAATTTTTCTTTCTACTAAGTGAAAATAATGAACTTTTAATTACAGAATTACTAGTTTCAAGTGAAGCAAAAAATGTTTTTCTTTTGCAGTGTTAGCCTCAAATAAAAAAAAAAATCCATGGACATACTGTATAATATTAGTTATTATTATTATTATTATGGCATTAAACCACTTTGGGTTTTTTGCTTTGATTAGAAGTAATAAAAATAAATATAAAAAACGAATGAAACTAGCTATTTGTTAATAAAATTAAAAGTAAATCAAAAAATGTTATTAAGGTAATGAAATACATGGGCGTGCATTTTTTTCTCAAAATTTGCTTAGTGTTATTTTGCAAATTATTATAATCCCATTTAATAATTTATACTCATTAAGGAAATTTTCAGAATAAGACAGTTTTGACAGTCCTCGAGTTCTGACCAACTTCCTAAATAAGGGTCTTTTGAGATATTTATTACCTGCTCTCCAACTAGTTAATCGGAAACACTATTGCAACAAAGCGCAGTGTGAGCAGAAAGTTAGACTGGTGAATAGTTTTTTCCCCGGTTGTACATACCACAGTACAATTTCGCTTAAATGAATACAGTCTGCCATTCATTTTGGTAAAGATTTTGATAATTCAAAGAAATAAATGGAATATGTGATTACAAAAGATACAAACAGACATCAAAAACGACATCTGCAGTACTAAAGCTAAATTGTATTTTTTGCTCAAAGGATGTAATTAAAAAACAAAGGAAATACGAATAGATGTTGCCATGAAGACGTCGCAAATCTTCTTATTTATAAGAAGACGCACTGTACACAAGGAGATTATAGGTAACTACATGTGTTCATTTAAGGCAAAATTCAAGAATGCTTTGACAAACAAATATTTGGAATGTCTTTCATTAATTTATTTATCCACTTGTTAAGATGAAAGATAATTAAATACATATAAATATGTATGTAGTTATTAACAACATAAGGCCATGTACCAAATAACAGACAAAATTTTAATGTCAATTGCGTCTGTTATTTGCTGTGTGATTCGGTACTTTTCGTGATAAGATTTTGGCAAAAATTATTCAAAATCGGAATGTCAAAGTGAAATAATGTCAAACTTGACGCAAATAGCTTTTTGCCTTTTGTATAGCATCATCAACAACAACTTCCGTTAACGACCTAACAACTTTATGTCACTCAAGTGTCTTTGACGACCAAAGCCAAAATAATTTGTTCCCAACTGTACAATTTACGTTTTACAATTTTCATTTTACAAGTAATAGAGACAAGTAAATTCTAATAATTAGTCAATAAATTTGTTTAATTATTTTATAAAAATATAAGATAATTTTTATTGCAATATTTTTTATTAAAATGGCCGTAAAATTACAGTCGTTGTTGAGCATAGCTGTTTTCCCTCAGCCACTACAAATTACAATATCTCCTTAAACAGCGTTTCACTAATCACATAAAGCCTAATAAATTAAATTACCTACAAGTTTAATTTGAATTACATACGGGTGCCGACATTCTCTTGTAATTTCTACCGCAAGCAAAATAAATAAAAATAGTGAGGTGCAATTGCATATTTCTACGTATTTTAAATTAAATAGAAATATTTATCTCTCACATATAAATTGCGCTTATATTTGAAATAAATTCCATTACTCTATTAAATATGATCGAGAATTGCTAATGGTGTTACAAATTTTAATCAACTGTAACAGGAAATGAATTATTTATGTCTTTTCAAATGAATTAATTAGAATATACTTTAATACAAAATATATGCATGCACACATTTGTCATTTCATCTTTATTTGTTATAAAAATTTGAATTTAAATTAAAATTTAGGCTAAAAAAATGGACATCATTTATATGTATGTACTCTGCATACCTAAAATGAATTTTGTCTGCTTAAAATGTTTGCTTAATTTTTCTAAAATTTGTTTTTTTCTCTCGAAAGAACCGAGTGCGCAGAGGTTTAGATTCATTTTTATTAACTTGTCAAGATTTAGATGGATATGTAATTTATACAATTTTAAACCACTTGTAACAAAATTGATTTTCTGATAAAAATGAATCTTTTTGTGATACACATCTAGAACTTTGTAAGGGCCAAATAAAGCCGTCTTATCATTTTACCTGCCGAATAAATCCCGGTTTAGCGTAACGTGAATTCTGTTGAGTAACCGAACTGTCGTTGGAGATTGAAAGATTGTGCGCATCCGTTCTCTGATCCTCTGTAATACGTCGCATCAAGCGAGGAGATTTAAATTTTTTTATTACATTATAATTATTGAAGTAGTAATTCAAACATAATTCTAATACAAAAAGTGTATACGGTCGCCAACGGTATTAAAGTAAAAAAGCTTTCATTAAAGTCTTGTGAAATTTTTAATAAAACCTAAGTACGCTGCTAACATTAATAAGTAAATTTTTTTCAATATTACTTTGTTCGCATTTTGCAAACTTTTTAATCATAAAATCAATATAATTATACTTTAATCAAAGTAATTTTTAATTCTGATTATTGATAATATCTGATTGTTACAGATGAATATTAGGAGTATTTTTATTTCAGTGACAAAAATGACCGATTAGAATCAACTTGATCCTGCAACCATCGTTATATCACAGTGTGACGTGTCGTCAGAAGATAAATTACAATTATTTTTTAATTCTCTTGTCAATAAAAATGCGGCGGTTTGAAATTGGAAGGTTACTTGGTATAAAATGTAAATTTCGTGGCTTCCTCCCTTTCTAAATTTTACTCTTGAGGCGATTTAAATTTTTGACTTAATTGTAATCGCTTATTTCTCATAAAATGTTAAAAAAAATGTTAAAGCTCTGCTCGAGCGTTTGCTGCTTTTCAATGAGTAATCAAAAAATTCAAATGATTGTTAAATGAAAAATGGCCCATAAAAGCTTCGTGGGAATTTTCCTTGGTAGGTATGCTGTTGTTTTCCGACCAAATGATTTTCCTTTTCTCGGTGTAAATAAAGTCTAGGTTATTAACAATTACTTACTTTTTCTTATGAAACAGTGTGCTTAATAATGAAACAATTTTGCAAAATTTTAGATGCAGATTAAGGGAAAAACAGGATAGGTAGTACAAGTTTTTTTCGTAAATTATCGAAATCTTTACCGGCAAGTAGCATACGAAATACAGGGTGAAATCGAAATAAGTGCACATATTTAAAAACGTAAGCACAGTGACATCGTGAGTGTCTTGATTGTTTCATTTTTAGTCGGTTGTAAGAGTGGGGCAAAACACCCTTCAGGGATCCCAATTGCGACGCCTAACGCAGGTACTATCGAGTGCATAAGTGTTGGTTAGTGCGGAAAGGGAGAGAATGGGAGCCGCTTTTAATAGTTTGCTCAAATTTGCAGTTTTTTTATATCCTGTTATATAAAGGAGTTACTCCTTTTTTGTGCACTTTTTTCGATTTCACCTCGTATAACTTTAAATGTTGTAATGTCGGTACAGGTTATGTCAATTAGGCTTGTATAAAGTTATTGAGTCGTGAATAAAGTAGGATTGTTCGTTTTCACTTTTTCAACAAAGGAAGGAATGGCTTTGACGCTAACACAACAAAAAAAATGTTGCAACAATATACCCATTTTTCGTATCTTTTCTATTATTGTCAATTGTAGCAGATCTATAGCGCCGCGTCCCCCCTGAAAATCTGCTCAATTATTTGAAAACTTATATTCAATCTTAGCTCGTAAAATTTTGCTACTGACTCACTAGTCATCAGTGTGCGTAAGCGTTAATAACTTAATACAGGATGTTCAGCTTAGAACTTTTCGATTAATCTTTCAGGTTTTTTAATAAACAACAACTGAAGTGTTGTTCAAGTGTGAATCTGTAAGTTTGTACAAAAATT